CCTGCCCCAGGGCCGACCCCACCCCCCGGCACAGGGAAACCCCGCGCACGCCTGCCCAGGGGCCAGCCCCCCACTCAGGGAAGCCCCACGCGCGTGCCTGCCCCAGGACCAACCCCCCCCCAAGCGCAGGGAAACCCCGCGCACGCGCCTCCCCCGGGGATGACTCACCCCTCCTGTGCTCCCTCTACAGTACACCCGGCAGAGCAGCTAACGCACTTCCGGAATCGCCGGAAGTGGCGCTAAGCTGCGGGACTTCTGTCCATTCCGGGTAGTGGGGCTTCTCAGAGTTGGGAGGGAAATGAGGGCGGGGCGGACAGGACACCTTGCGATCGACTGGTTGAGGCCTTGCGATCGACCAGTCAATTGTGATCGACCTGTTGGTGACCATGGCTTTAAGCAGAACTCAAGTATGACATCCAGTGGCTCAAACCTCAGGAGGAGCTACAAATTTCCCTAGGTCCCCCTCCCCCACCAAAGGGTGTCCTTGGTGAGAGCGTTGGTTGCCTTAACTCAGGTTACGTCTAAACTACATGGCTCCGTCGACAGAGCCACGTAGATTTGTTTGTTTGGCAAAGGGAAATGAAGCTGCGATTTAAATAATCGCGGATTCATTTAAATGTAGATGGCTGCCGCACTGAGCCGACAAACAGCTGATGCCGCGCTAGTCTGGACACTCCCGTGCCGACCTGAAAGCCCTTTATCGACCTCCCCGTTATGCCTCGTAGGATGAGGTTTACCGCGGAGCTCGATAAAGGGCTTTCAGGTCGGCGCGGGAGCGTCCAGACTAGCGCGCTGAGCCCACAAACAGCTGATCAGCTGTTTGTTGGCTCAGCGCAGCAGCCATGTAACTTTAAATGAAGCCACGATAATTTAAATCGCGGCTTCATTTCCCTTTGCCGATCAGCCTAATCTAGTTTAGACACTCCCTCAGTGTGGGTCATTTTTGGCTAAGCAGAAAATATAGAATTGTTTGTGTAGGATGGAAAAGGGAAACGCCTACAGGGGTGTTTACATGAAAAGCATTTGTTTCCTTAAAGGTAGCCCAGAGAGGAGAAATGAGACACTTCCAAAGAGTGACCAGCTCACCCTTTCAAAAGTCAGTTATAAAGGGGCCAGGAATGGGAGAGACAAGGCACTCCATACCACTGCCATCCCCATAGCTCTGCTGGTTCAGCCCATAGCTCAGGAGAAGAAAGGGTACTTGGCCCATGCCATACGCTCCATCTCCTACCATGTCCCTGCCATGGTTCTGGGCATTTGGTCCCCAGACCACAAGTGGCTGTGCTCTTCACTACTGAAAATATGTTAAAAACTTCAAGGTTAAGGGCCACCTGCAAAAAGGAGGAAATCCTCCCCCACCCACAAACCTCTCCCATTGTTCCTCTTTCACTGCTCCCAGAGGGATCCACTCATGTGAAAGATTTATACGCACACACACAAACACACAGCATTGTTATTGTAGGGTTGCTCATGGGTGCTAGGACTGCACATGCAGGTGTGTAATTATACAACTCTTACACACGCAGGGCATCACACATTGGCATTAGCAGGTTGTTTGCAGTATAGGGCTGCTTATGTTGTTCTCTGGTAGGCTACATATGGACACAGGGAGACCCACGCATATTGGCCATTCTTAGGTCAGTGGAGTAAAGGGCCTATTTTGCACTTCCTGAGTGTGAACCTAGTTCTTCAAACATGTGGATGTGGGTTTTTTTTTTCCAAATTATTCTTAGTGGCTTTACCTGACTTGCTGTGTTGGATTTTTTCTGTGAGGGAAAGGCTTTTGTTGGCTTGATTTGAGGGGGATGGGGGGCTGCCAACCTCCTTCTTTGGACTGAAACCACTATATTGCTCATGAAATCATAGCCTTATATAAATGTTGTAGACACTAGGGATCTCAAGGGGTCATCTAATCCAGTCCCCTCCTCTGAGGCAGGACCAAGTATACCTAGAGTATTCATGCTGTTCTTAAAAACCTCAAAAAGGCTTTTAAAAAAAATCAGTTTCCCTTTTTCCACTGACTGCAAGAGGCAGGGTCAGCACTCACCTCTAGTTGTGTGTATCTGAACTCTTTCTCCTCTGGTGACCCATTTTGGGCTCCAACTTTAAGTCCTGGTGTGGTGCTATATTCCCAGGGCTTCCCCCTTGAAGACACTATTTTCCTGGGGTACGTCTACACTACATGCCTCTGTCGGCAGAGGCATGTAGATTTGTTTATTCAGCAAAGGTAAATGAAGCCGCGATTTAAATGATCGCGGCTTCATTTACATGTACATGGCTGCCGCGCTGAGCCGACAAACAGCTGATCAGCTGTTTGTCGGCTCAGCGCGGCAGCCATGTACATGTAAATGAAGCCGCGATCATTTAAATCGCGGCTTCATTTACCTTTGCTGAATAAACAAATCTACATGCCTCTGCCGACAGAGGCATGTAGTGTAGACGTACCCCATCTGTTACTCCAAGTGCAGATTAACTTTTCTCTCAAAAATGTAAGTCTCTCAAACCCTTTTCACCTGCCCTGGAAGGAGAACTTAAGACACTTTGACAAGGGCTGACTCATTTCACTGTAGCTTTTGCAAGTTCCTCAATATCTGCCACAAATTCACAGTTCTTCTTATAGAAATGCTGTTAGTGTATAGCAATAATACACTTGTTCTGCTAATTTTTTTTCCATCCAGTAAGATATTCCCTGCACCTCCCAGGGTATGTGCCAAGAGGAACTGTTTTCCTCAGTCATTAACAGTGGAAATAAACTACTGCTGCCAAAATTGTGTTAGGTCAGGGCCCCAAGCTGGCCATTATCAATAGCACTTGGGCTTAAAGTGCAGCCTTAACAAAAAATAACAAACAGATTGTCTATGCTGATTAAAGTCAAATGCTAGTCAGACAAGCTGAATACTTCTGACTTCTTTCTCAAGTCAATGAAAAGTAATTTGTGAGAGTGGCCATGACAACTTCACAGCAATCAAAATGGCCAAATTCTTTCCTGATGTAACAGCACTGTTGAAAGGGATGAATCTGGGCCAGTGACAGTTACAAAATAAATCTGAAGCATACTGGGTGGTTCAGAAGAGTGGGCTAGAGAGCTCGTTAGAGCTCATTGCATGTGTAGCTGACTGACTGAAATCTACCCTGAAGTTGACCTAAAGTTACGGTCATCTGCTAGTGGGTCAGTGACCTCTTTGAAACGAGATGAGAGGTCTTAGTCCAGATTCTAGTGAGCAAATATCACAGCACAAACAAGCAATGGACACCTCTCTTAACACAGAGGCAAAGACAGGAGGGATAGTCAGTGACTTTGGGCATGTCATTTACTTTCTATTTCCCTTCTGTCAAATGGAGCTAATTGAACCTCCCTCTGTCCCAGGTAGAGTGTGAGGATAAATGCATTCTCAGTAGAAAGCAGATCAGATTGTATGTCATACCCAGCAATGACATCACAGCAGCCAGTGTCTTTTCTTGTGGCTAGCTGCAAGGAGCAAGGTCACAAACAGATGTCACATAGACATGTGTCACCTCTCTCTGAAACTTTGACATGACGTGTGGCTCTTTCTTCAGTCTGTCCATTCCACTGATTGGAACTCAGGTATTATAGTGCTAAAAGCTATAGAAGTAAATGGATCGTTAGAATGGGCATGAGGATCAACATTACTTCAAGAGGAGGAACCTTCCAGCTGGTTGAGATCAGTGTCTGCCCAAACCATGTATGAACTCTGGAGCAAGTGATGACATCAACCCCAGGGCTGTCAATCCACCCTCTACCCAGAGAATATTGTGAAGACCAAGACTATAATAAGGGTCAAAAAAAGAATTAGATGAGTTCATGGAGGATCAGTCCATTAGTGACTATTAGCCTGGGTGGGCAGAGATGATGTCCCTAGCCTCTGGTTGCTGGAAGCTGGGAATAGGCAACAAGATGAATCTCTTGATGATTACTTGCTCTTTTCATTCCCTCTTGGCATTGGCCAGTCTCAGAAGACAGGACACTGGGATAGATGGACCGTTGGTTTGACGCAGTATGGCCATTCTTATGCTTGTATATAACCAGCACTAAATATTGTAGAATGAAAGACAAGGAAACTCTTGACATGTGCCATGCATTAAATGACAAACAAAGCGGTGTGTCTTTTATTGAAATAATTACAACCATAGCTTGGGGAAGAAGGTGAACATCTCTTCAGTGAGCATGTGAGAGAAATGCTTTTGGGCATTTGTAATACAATTGTATACATCTCTCATCAGGCAAGCAACATCAAGGAGAGCCAGGAATAAAAGGAGCCACAGACCATGTCAAAAGCTACATGTACCCAACTGAATCCTGTGCACCTTGGAAAAAGGGCCAGTGTGCTCCCTTCTCCTCTGATGACATGTATTTTAGCAAAGAGCACCAGACAAGTTTCTTCCCTGGTGACTTCCAGGCACTTGGATCACGTCAGGGATGGTGATTTGTACTGATTAAAGTTCAGTCTGGTGGGGTGCTGAGCAATCAAGTTATGGAAAGGAAAGTGCTCAGCCACTTGCAGGAACCACTTGCACTGTGGAGGATCAGGCCCTATAACAGTGAATAGAGATGTATGAATTCCTTGGGCTCTGCTTTTCTCTTCTCCATCCTCCCTATTTTTACTTTAACACTCGAGGTGTGGCAGCATGGGGACCAGCCTTGCAAAACATTCAAACAAACCATCCAAACTCTTTAACTTTAGTGACTTTTCCCATCTCTACAAATCCACAATTCTTAACCTCCATCAAACTACAGCAGCTGTCTCTTTGGAAGTGAACTGAAGCATCATGAACTTCTAAACAAGTTTGAATAGATCAAAGCCAGCTGAGGATTTCAGGACAGTCTCATTGAACGCAGAAGTTCAGAACTCTGAGACTGTTTCCAACTTTTCTGTCCTGTCAGTGGCAGCTTGATTATTAAATACTCTCTAAAACTCACATAATTTGGACTTATCCCCAAATCTAGGCCTTCTGCAGCCAGTTGACACATTGATGCATGTGCTTCACTCAGTAGAATCAATCCCTACTCAAGGGAAGCTGTATCTGTCTAGCAGCTGCTGTTCTCTCAGCTTTATGTAGTCCAGTTCTTGAACTGCTTGGCAGCTTTTTGGTCTGAATGGACCTTACTTCAGTATCCACTCGGCAGCACATCTCAACTACTTCCACCACGCCGTGAACATCATACCAAAACCAAACCATACTCAACTCTTCACAGGTAGGATCCCCAGAGTCACTGCTTTTGTACCTGAGAAAGAAGTGCTTGAAATTTCACCATCAGTTAAGGTCCCCAGGAAATAATTATTTCCTTCAGTAGACTTATATAGGATGAACCACTTTCAGAGAACCAAGGAGCAGACTCCCAGCATGTGTAAATTGTCATACAGCAGAACTTCAGAGTTATGAACACTAGTTATAAACTCACCAGTGGAACCACACATCCCCAATTAGGCAGCAGGGGGAAAAAGCAACAAATACAGTACAGCACTGTATTAATCATCAACTACTAAAAAAAGAGAGAAAGTTTAAGAAGATTTGACAAGGTCAGGAAACTTTCTACACTTGTTTCATTGAAATTAAGATGGTTAAAAAGAGCATTTTTCTTCTGCACAGTAAAGTTTCAAAGCTGTAGTAAGCCAAAGGTCAGTTGTAAGTTTTTGGGAAACAATGATAACATTTTGTTCATAGTGATGAACAATTCAGAGTTCTGAACAACCTCTGTTCCCATTGTGTTTTTACCTGAGGTTCTACTGTAGTTCCATTTAAGACAGATGAGCCATGACCATTTACAAAAGCTGAGGATCTGCACCAAATACTTTTTGCGGGGAGCCAGGAGAAGAGAAAGTGAATGCACTATAAGGGTACATCTACACAGCAATAGTTATTTCGAAATAACTTAGTCCGCGTCTACACAGCAGGCCGTTATTTTGAAATAATGTTGAAATACTGTCAAGCTGGAGGACTTCTTACTCCAACTCCTATAACCCTCATTGTACGAGGAGTAAGGGAAGTCAGAGGAAGAGCGCTCTATTTTGAAATAAGTGCTGTGTAGACGCTCCCAATTTTGAAATAAGCGATTTCAAAATAAGTTACGCAATTGACGTAGCTCAATTTGCATAGCTTATTTCAAGTTAAGCCCTGCTGGGTAAATGCATCCTAACATTAACACTGCAACTTTCAAGGTGCCAAAGCCTTTAATGGCAATCACGAGCAACTGCCTCCTGTAGGTGCCTTTGAAATCCCAGCCTCAGTCAACAAACTCAAGTGTGGGACAAAGAAGGTTAGGAGGGAAGAGATAGCTGTGTGTTTTGAGTTAGTGGTAAAGCGTCATACTTTGGATTTCAATGAACATTGGTGACAAAAAATTAACAACACTGTGGAGTTTTGTACAAACTTAAAAAAACTGCAGGGTGATTCAAAGCTTTGCTCCATTGTCAAGGATCCACCGTGACTTTTTTTTATGAAATGCAATACAAGTTTGCTGCCCAAGTGCTTTTGCTTACCAACACACATACCTGTGACTTGAGGCAAAACAATCAGGAGAGCTTGAAATTCAGATAAAAGTCTCTGTACAACTCAGCTAATTTAAAATGTAGGGAAGGATTGAGCCCATTGGGCACTGGTCAGTAAAGTACCTTTTGTAGAAAAAAAGGTAGCAGAGAATAAAAATACCCCAAGCCCCCACATTAATTATACATTAGCATCACTTTATACTTATTGACCCACACAGCCTGTTAGATTCTTCACACCTCAGTCGTATCTTACAGAACATTTCCCCCAGCACGCTTCCCACTCTCTACTCCTAGACAAATGTCTCTTCTGTAAATGCCACTGGTTTGCACTCCTCTGGAGAGGCATCCGTGTGTGGTTGGCTCTTGAGCCACTCCACCCTGCTCCGGATGAGTTCATTCTCCACAGCTTCTGCATCCGCTGCATGGCAGTTCTTGGCCTCATCGTGTTTGAAGTATTCCCTGACGGTGTTGCGGATGGAGGCTGGGAGAATGATGCGGATGGTGTGGCTGAAAGCGTTGATGCTTTTGCCGTGGGTTTTGGCAGGTGCTGCTTGCTGAGCATTGTCCGTCAGCCCCTCTGCCTGGGGAATGCTTTGGGGAGTCTCTTTGCACTCCGTTTGCAGCTGCTGGCTCGTTGCTTCTTGATGGTATCTCCTGGAGACAGAGTGCAGCACCAAAGGGGTGTTCTGACCATAGAACACTGTCTGGGGTATATGGACACTTACTGTTGGTTGGCTCTTGGAAGTACTTTGGCCACTGCTGCTGTTTGATTTGGGGCTACAGATGCTCACTGAGAACCCTCCATCCTCCTGTTCCCTTGGAGATCCCTGTGGACTTCCTTTATTTGGGGCCATGTAAAAGGTTATCTTGGTGCGCTTCAGGCTTTCCTGTCTGGGAGGGGAAACCTCTGGGCCTTTTATCTCAATGTGCTTAACTGACTTTTCCCTGGGCCCTTGCTGGCCAATGGCTGATGAGCTCTCAGTGGCTGGGATGTGAGTGGGGGGGTCTGTTTTACATTCAGACTCTTTGAAATAACACTGGCGTCCGAGAGCATGTCCAGAGCCCCTGACACATCTCACTTGCCTTTCCTCTTCCTCCCAGTCACTCTCATTTAAGAGGCTTCCCATGGCAGCGCCATTGATGGGCACAAAACCCTTCATTTCCCCAGTGCTGTGACTCCTCTCCCGGTCCCTTTGCTCAGGCTTGCTGCATGAGTCCAAGTCACAAGGGTTCAAAGGCAAAAGAGATGTCAAGGGCTTGGTCCATTCTTTCAGGGACCTCTTTGCTATCTTTGGAGACAAGGCATGGAGTCGGGTGGAAGTGCCAAACATGAAAGGCAGGGAGGAGACGTCACTGGGGCTGAAGGCTGAGGACTCGGAGCAGTAGGAGAAAGCACTGTCTAAGGAGCTTAGTGAGGAGGCAGAAGGGGAAGTGGTGGTAGAGGACAGGCTGGAGAAGCTGGACCTGTTGGACAGGTTGGTTTTCTGAAGCTTCTTCACCCTAGAGCTGGTCTCAGGAGATTGCCAGAAATTCTGCCTCGTCTTATTCAGCCCAGGGCTCAGGCCTTCATCAATCAGCTTCTGGCTCTCCAACTGCAGCTGCTTGAGCCTGTGGATGTAATCAGTGTGGCTGTGCATGATGGTGGCATCACAGCGGGACTGGCGGGCCACTGGCTCATGGCACTGGGAGGGGAGCTGAGAGCTGAGGCAGACACTGGGTTCAGAAGAGCACCGATCCCTTGCAGGACTCAGTGAACGTATCGAGCCAATGGAGCAGAAGGAGCCTTCTTCGTCGAGGAGCTCATAGCTGTCTGCGCTGGCATTCTTCCTGGTTTTGCTTTGGTAGCAGGCAGTGATCTCACTAAACAGATCCCAATCTTCCTGCTCCTCTTCAAATAACAAACCACCAGAGGGATGCTGCTTTGGTCTTTCCTGGTCACAGGCAGCAAACTCCATTTCATCAGAGGAATCGTTTTGCTGAGCCCTGCCAATACCTGGGGAAGACATGCAGGGGGAATGCCAATTACCTTGTAAAAATGCAACAGAAAAGCATATAATTATCTGTGTTCCTTTCTACCTGTCACAGTGGTATGTGTCTAGGTCCCAAAGGACACTTCGAGCTACGAGTGTGAGTCTCAGCTTGAGGAGACAAAAACTGGGCTAGCTCTGATCAAGTAGTGCACCAAACAAAGTGTTTAGCAGTAGCGGGGCAAGTGGCAGGAAAGGCTAATTGTCCTGAATGTGCGTCCAGCACCTCCGATTCTCACCCCCCCAGCTCGAAGTGTAGCCATACTTTAAATGTTTACTACTACAACTGAAACAACAGAGTGCCTTCCTTTGAAGAGCAACAAATGCTTTGTGAATATCAATTAATTAATTAATTCTCATAAGACTTGTGCGAGGCAAAGGAGATTTTTCCACTGCATTTTACAAGTTGGAGAAACTGAGGCACAGATTGGGGAATGACTTTTATCAAGGACACATTTCAAGTCTGTGGCAGAAATAGAAATGGAACCCTACTGTTTCTTGTCTCACAAGTCTCAGGTGCTCATGATTAGATCACAGTCTGTCATATATTCAGCAGGGACACATGGATCTCTTTAAATTCTGACTTCTCAAGTCAAATTTTAGAAAATCAGTTTAAACTGCTCCACTTTTAAAAAAAACAAGTCTGTTGGAATATGCTGCTTGATGCACGAATTCTGAGGTAAATTGTCTGACAAACTGCAGCAGCAAGGAACTATAGCAGGATAGTGAAGAAGGGGGTAAACCAGCCAAACAGGGGTCCATATGTGAGGTGCTGTAATTGCATTCTCCAATGCCCTTATCAAAACATAGTCAGGAAGTTAGGGGAAAGGACTGGCTCAGAACAAGTCCCCTCTTCTACATTCCTGTGGATGGGTAGTGTGGGAATTGTAGTCTTTGTGTACAAGGCATTTGACAGCAGTTCTGACTGACCAGGCATCTCCTGAGAAGGTGCCAGGAAAATACAATGCTACAAACTTACCCAGGAAATCCTCAGAGTTTTTTGACTTTTCTTTGTCTGGCCTTTGAAACAGTGAAGTGATGTCACCTCCAAAAATGTCTGCTGAGTTTTCAATCAGGAACTGTACTAACATGGCCACCTGCCAAGGAAGAGGAAACACTGGTGTCAGTTTAGGGAACATATACCTGGCTCTATTATCCTCCAAGACAAATTAGCCTAGAGAGACAGTGTGACGATGCCTTTCTCTGCACAAATGTAACACTTAATCCTGAAGATACCCTTTGGCCCAGAAAACTAGGAAGCATCTCTTAGGCTGGATGCTTGTGCATTAGTCATAGCTGAAAGCAAGAAGCTGGGCTAACTGGAACAGTAGTGTGAGTTGATACTGCAAACCCTGTAGTCTTAATTATTATTGTCATAATCTCACAAGTCTCAGCAATATTCTGCCTCCGAGGAGGAGTGTCATGATGGTAGATTTGTTCCTCTCTGCAGGTTGGTGCCACCATTATTAGATGTTTCAGATGGGGAGACAGTTTTCTTCCTTTTAATGGATTACTAAGTGCCCTCTTACCCACTCCCTGGACAATTGTGTCCAGCAAGAAAGTCCATTTGTTAGAGCAGATCATGCCTTCTTTTAATGCTTCCATCTCTGAAGCGGTCAAGTTACCCCATAACAATCTGAATGGGTGGCCAGGGGAGGAGGGGTGAAGCTAAAATTGTTACTGACCTAAAGCACTTCAACTCTATATTTCCTTTGTAGACTGCAGAGGAACAAGTCATAGGAGGTGGGAGGAGGGGGAAAAAATCATGTGGGCAGAACCGCACCAGGAGTATTTACCTTTTTTGTAGACTTGCTTTCTTCTTCAGGCCCAGTGGGACTAGGAAGCCACAACATGTTGGGAGCTATGCAAAGAGCCAAGTTAAATGCATTCATCTGATTCTCCCCTGAATTCTGCTCAATCTGATGCAGGACTCCAAACAGGTGTCTGAGTAAAATGAAGTTGGCTTCTGGGAGCTGCTTCACCAAACTGCCCAGGGGAAAGAAACAAAACAAAATAAGGAGCTTGTAAAACCTGGCTCTCCAAAATGACAATTGACTTCTAAAAGCCCTGGCTACACTACTGGTACAATCATGATTTTGTAACTAGATTGTGACATTCTCATCTGGCCTCTCTACAACAAATAGGATTGAGTTACATTCATCACACAGTTATCTTGCTGTCATGTTTGTGCATTCACATCTACCATGCTACCCAATGCACTCTGGGAAAATGTGGACTATACTCCACAGTTCCATCAGGAGATGCTAGAATGCCTGGAAGACACATGTACAGACCTGTGCTGGCAGCATGGACAGTGACGTACTTTGCTGTGACCTATGGTACAGAGATTTGAGGGGAAGGAGGACCAGCCAAACTGTTATCATTTAAAAGAAATTTGTCTTATGGGTTATGTCCATGTGATGCTAATGGACAAATCCTGCTCAAGGTGCCAGTCTCAGGAAAGTAGATAAACTCTTCAGGCCTTGATACTATGACTGGCAGGCTACTCCTTCCTGACTATCACACTGATGTGGCTATCAGTTTAACTTTGTGCAAGGGAGAACCACCATAGTTAAGCATCTAATTAATTCCATTTATACCCAATGGTACCACTGAAGTCCAAATTACTGTCCTTTCTTTATTTGAATTCTAGTAATTACAGCTGGTCATCCAAAAAGATATTTTTGGGGAGGGGCAGGGTGGAGGTTTGGTAAAGAAAACAAAACAGAAAAACATCATGAACAATTTTGTCAAAAATATCATTTTCTTTCACTAAAAAATACATAGATGAAAATGTTCTGACCAATTCGGTTAACACCTAGCCTTCACACTCAACATCAGCCAGTGGATTGAGAGCAGTGAGCTGGCCTAGAGCAACATGAGGAATCTCTTAGCACATGGTAACTGTGCTGTGTGGATGGAAATAACACAAGCCTCCTCAAGAGAGACAAAGTGGGGCACAGACATACCTTTTGATGGCTTCAATCTTATGCGCTCGATTTTCTGTGTCCACGGCTTCCATCCACAGCCCGTGCATGTCTGAGGATAGAACACTGTCAGGTATATTTCGTAGAAAATCCTGAATTAAATATATATATGCAGAGCAGTCTGGTCAGTTTTGAATAGTTTGTTTCATGATGCATATATGTTCATTTAGATTAAACATAAGATAAAATGTGACACAAAGCATTTCCCATAAGGCCTCCCTGCTCCCCATGGCATGCAGCATGGCAAACAGATGTCTGTGTGTCACAGAAGGAAAAGCTCCATCTAATCCAACTTTTGGCCAGAGCTGGATTATTCTCTATAGAATTGTATATTGGCCAGGGCTTTGTTCAGTCAAGATTTAAATGTCCAAACAATGGGGTTTGTACTACTTCTCCTGGGATACTATTCCACAGCCTACTATATATCTTGTGTTGAATCAATCCAAATTCAAGCAAACAGTGAATTGTGAAGATATCTAAGAGGTAGTCTGGCCAATAAGAGGAAAATTGGGAATATATTTTAAGTGAAGACCTGAACTGTTCTCATTTCATTTACATGTCAGGACAATACTATGGCTAGTTTTCACTGGAGAGTTAAGTTATAAATTCAGCATTACCCCTAGCTAAAATCCCTTCCACACTCATTGATCCTTAACTCAAGTGCAGTGGTGCTTTTCACTCTAGTTGGCTGGCCCATCAAGGAGCAGAGGCTAAAGCTTGAGTTAATACTCAAGCTGCTAACGGTGCCAGTCCGTAAAGTGGACAGAGGCAAACTTCACTCAAGGGCTACGAATTCACCAGTGCCTTCCCACAAATTCTTCCACAGTCCCCAGAGCAGCTCAGCTTCCCCCAGCTCTAAGAATCCCCAAAGTCCTAGCAACATGCACCGGTGAGTACACAGCAGGTTGGGCATTATATCGCACTGCGGCTGCTGCCACTTGAGGTAGGCTAACTTGACAAGTGTAAAGCGAGTGCAGATAATTCAAATTAACATGGCAGGGCAGATACTGCCCTAGTCTGTTTAACCCCTTGCTACCTGAGGGTCTGCTGTAGTTTTACATTAGAAGGTACAAAAAGGGATACTGGCCTGAGAGCCAATATTCATTTCTGCATGTTGAAGACTGTTAAAGCGGCAGATTTTCATTCATGCAAGGGCATGGCTGCTCTCTGACACATTCCCAGCCAGGACCTGGAGGTGGAGTAGGCTGAATGTGCCCCATTTAAAATGCTTTTCCCAGGCAAGACCTTGATATCTCCTCACTGAATGCAAAGTGTTGTTCTAGGGCAGTACCACTCTGGTGTGACTTACAGTGATGACTGCTGCAGCCACAAAGACTGACTCGCCATCCACCTGGACATCATCTCCAGAGTTCAATTTCTCTTTCAGTTCCTTGCAGATCTTGGCATTGGCTGAGCGCCTGAAAATGCCTCTTGTGGAGGGACCTTCGTGGTACAGCAGAAGCAGCATATCCTAGGAGAAAGCCGAGCCCCGACATAGGTTTAGACGAGTTTAGCATCTGAACCCATACTGTGTCATGCCTCACAAGCTAAGTAGGGTTAAGGATGGTCAGCATCAGTAGGAGATTCTTCAGGAAACCTGAAGGGTACAGGAGGTGATATGGGTGACTCTGTAGGGGACACTTTCCTTCATGAGTTTGAACTGGTACTGAATCAAAGTACAGTATAGTATAAGAGAGCACTAATCTTCTTACTCCTCCTCCCAGACATGGGTGACAGGAACCTCAGAGATACCACAGATGGCTGATACAGAGGTGGATGGATAGATGATATATTTATAAACCCCATCTTACCATAATAGGCTTGGGGAGCATTCCATCAGGACACACAGAGGACAAAGACAGGCCGAAAAGTTTCCGTGGGGTGGGGGGAGAATGTGATGCAGGGCTGCCTGTGGGGGTGCTGGTAGTCCGGCGCAAAGCCCAGTCAATCAAGGATTTCTTCCTCTTCGTATGTTTCTGCAAGGATTCTGAAAGAGCCCAAAGCCGCTGGATTTACAATGTGCCCCTCTTGCAAGGCTTGTGCATTAGACCCGTGGGAAGGGAGTCAGAGTCATGCAGATGGCTTTATTTCTTTTCCAGTGAAATATAATGTCAAAATTCCTATTTCGGGGATTGGAAATATATGGGAGTCTTCACTGGGAGAAGTCTCTTAAATCCAATGGGCAGAGTAAGGTCAGTCACCCAGTGAAAACCCACAGGGCAAATAGTTCACAAACATGCCATACAATTCACTGTAAATTTTCTTATGCAAAAATGCGTTTGAGGTGTGGACGCTCCGTGAGTGTTTGCACAAAAACAGCTATTTTTCTGCAAAAACTCTGCAGTGTAGACATAGCCTGAGTCATTAACTTCTTCTATCTCTTGTCCGTGAATACATTATTTGTGAACCATCTTTTTGATTTTGTGTCAGCTTTAAAGGAGGTCAAATATTACTGGTGCTTTTTATTTTTTTGTCAAATGGCAAATACATTTGTCTTGGATAATTCTTGTATCATCTGAATGGCTCTAGCATGGATATTATTACCTGTTGAGTTCAAGGCATCAGTAAACCATTAGCCAGTCCATAAAGAAAGATCTCAGAGACAACATCTCCTATGCTTCTTGGGAGGATCTAATAAAAGAGCTAAATACGGTTTGATTGGTGACTATGTGTGTGTAACACAGCAATTCATCCAAGGGTATCGTAACTTGCTGTTGAATGCTAATCAAGCACCTTGTAGTTGGTAATAAGAGCCAAAGTCATGGTTAAGGGTGAAGTCCTGCTACCACTGAAATCAATGTATGTTCAGTGGATGCAGGAACAGGCCTTGTTTTATGAAGGGACAAAAATCAAGCCTCTTTCCAGTGCAGATACATCCGAGCTCTGAGTATCTCTCTCAGATAAAACCACAACACAAAAGGAAGTCAGCAACTGCGCAGGGAAAGCTGCCGGGTTCTTTGAAGGGACACACAGTATCATCCCGGTCCTCACCTCTCCTCAGCTGCATTGGAGCATGGGGCCTGGGTTTCAGGATGAACTGACACTGCCTGTCCTTGGGAAGCTGATCCAGGAGGGAAGCCTCCGTCCCATCCGCTAGGAGCGTGTTGTTGTTGGTTCCTTGGTGGTGGTCCACAGCGTCTCGGAGGCAGCTCAGTATGATGCTGAAAGGATGCTCATGCCCTGTGGTGATAAGAGACCCAGAATGACTAGGTGAGGACACAGAACTCATGAATTTCATTCTGGGAAAGCAATGAGGGGACTGGGTTTGCAGTGGCCAGACATTCACATCTCACAACTTCTAGTCAGCTGTGGCAACCTCATCAGAGAGCCCAAGGAATGAATGGACCATGGAGACTAAGCCCTGCAATTGCACTGCATGTGCTTTCCTTTAGTGGCTGAGTGGCAAAGGCTCGGGAGAAACCTGCTGTGCCATTTCAGTGTTGCATGTGTTCGGGGAGAAAAGTTTGATTGAAGAGGCTTTCAGCCTAGAAAGCTTGTGTGTGCTACACTCACTAGGGAAAATGAAACTGAAGGAGAAAAAGGAAAAAGATAAAAAAGTGCAGGCTCAGTTTGTGTTTTCAGATGTGAGACGTTGACTTGAAGAACACTGACAGGCGTTTAAAGATCAATGCAGCAACTCTTACATTTAAATTTCTATTTTGGAAGGATAGGCTGGATGGTCCACTAGGCATGCATGCTTCAATCGCCCCAAATCTGAGCACAGAGGAATACATCATTATTATGTTTGAGTTACAGTAGTGTTTAGAGGCCCCAATTGGGACTGGGCCCCATTAGGGTTAGGCGAAGCACAAAATGCACAGTGAGAAATGATCCCTGCTATGAATAGCTTTGAGTCGAATAAGATGGACGAGGCTGGAAGGAAAACAGAGAGGTAAAGAGACTTGATCAAGGTCATGCAGCTGGCCAGTGTCAGAGCTGGGAATAGACTGTTTTTTTGTCCTGAATCTCGGACCAGTGCACTATTTACTAACCACGCCCCATCTCTGAGATACACACATTCTGAGCTTGTTTATTCGTAGTGGCTGTGGAAAGTGGAAAGTTTACTTTAAGAACTTCCTCTGTTTGGTCACCCATTATAATACTGGCCTTTGCAGATATGAAAAGGGTTCCTGAAGGGTGGAAGCGGAGTTCTCACTGCGTGTGCGTGCACACGGGTACGGATGCACTGAAGGGTGGGGAGAATTGTTTCCTTAATAAATTTCACATTATCAGTTGTGACTGCCCTCTCATTTGGAAAGACAATAGTATTTTGCATTCCTTAAACACATACCAAAGGGATGTACGTCAAGATTGATTAGCCACCCAATATAACAGGCAATGTGCACACTTCTGTGTAACAAACCAGTATGAGCCCCTCAATACTACCCTACAATAGCAATCGAGTGTGTGCATTCCTGTGCTCACAAAGTATTCCACAACGAATGACCTCATGCACATACGCCTAGACCAGTGTTTCTTAAAGTAGTCTGCAAAACCACTCTGAGAAATATGCTAACTGGCTGCCCCGGTGTGCTTATTTACCAGCTCCACAGCCATGGAACCTCACTGCTCCCATTGGCTCCAGTTTCCTATTTGTAGCCAAAGGGAGCTGCGGGAAGCAGCAGCCTGGTCCACGCCACTTCCTGTGGCTCCCCTTGGCTGCAAACGGTGAACTGGAGCCAATGGGAGCTGCAAAGCTCCATGGCTGTAGAGCTGGTAAATAAACACACTGGAGCAGCCACTTAGCAGGTTTCTGAGGGTCTGTCTACACTGCCACCCTAGTTCGTGGAACGAGGTGTACCGGTAGTTCGGATTAGAGAGCCTAATTCGAACTACCTACTCCGGGCTGCATGTAGCCGCGGGCACGGAGTCCGCACTAAGGGGGATTTAAAAATGGCAGCGCCCGGCAAGATGCAAACGAAGCCCGGGATATTTAAATCCCGGGCTTCATTTGCAACTTCGAATGCCTACATTAGCCTCCCTAGTTCGAACTAGGATGGCAGTGTAGACATACCCTGAGAGTGGTTTTGTGAACCACTTTGAGAAACACTGGCCTAACCTAACATCCTGTTCACGCTACCCAACAATGAAAATCAAGCAGATGCTTCCCTGCACTAATGAGCACAACAAATAAGCATGTTCAGCCAGCACTTGTGAGAGACACCAACAATCACAAACCTGTGCTAAGTGCTCATACACAACCCTACAATAACAATCTTATTATGACAACAAGCTCTTAAGAGCATATCTACAATAACAAACCAGTGGGTTCAAACCTTACAGGAGAATTAATCCAGAAAGCAAACCACATCTCAATTTCAACAACAGTAGGAAAGTAAATATCTTTTAAAATGACAAAATACATTTTAGAGAAGATGGGGGAGGTAATATCTTTTTCTGGGCCAGATTCTGGTAGTGAGAGAAAGACAAGCTTTCAAACATATCCAAAGCTCTTCTTCAGGTCTGGAAAATGAAGAAGAGCTCTCTGTAGCTTGAAAGTTTATTAGAAATTGGTCCAATAAAAGATATCACCTCACCCACCTTGTCTCCCTAATAATCTGGGACCAATATATTACCGGAAGCTGACTGTGAATCTAAGACCAAAACTTGTCCATTGGGATATCACTTGAACCATTACAGGTTATGGCTGACCTTCAAAAGATTTAGTCCAGGTAGCTGATCATCAGTTCAGCCCTCAGGGTATTGGTCAAAATATTAGGAGTGATGCTTGGAGCTTAAAAAGTTCTGTTTAGATGTACAACCCACAGTTTAGATGCTTGAGAGCAGCTTTGATCTAGGCATTGTATAACAACAGAGAGTTATTCTTTGATCCCTCCCCATTGCTCGATCACATATAGAATTCAGATTGTGTTTATGAGAGTAGCACAAGAACTGCTTGTCTCTTTCAAAAAGATCAGTACTTCATAGCTCTGGTCATGTTAAAAGTGCCAGGACAGTGTACCTCCTGGTATTTTGGTGATTCTGATTTCTGAAAGGAAACGGTAAACATCTGAATTTATATTAAAAAAAAAAACTTAAAAAAATAACCAAAGTTTTTTTAACTTCAGAAAAAGTGTCAGTTGGGTTTGATTCTTATTTTATCTAAATAGCCCTTCCCTAAATATGATTCTATCAGCGCGTCATACACAATAATAGAATTTGTTATGAATTGCTATGGGAAAGATTGGAAAGATTTGTTACATATGCTTTGCCAAAGTAAATACCCTGTCTAATTTTAATTGTACATTTAATCTTACTTCACTGTCTTGTTTTTGCCAATGATGCAAATATGAAACAAATATTTTTTTGCAAACTATAGCTTTGATACTTTCTAAGATTAATGTCTGGCATTAATAAGACAGAATACCATGTTTTATTTGGTGGTGGTGTGTTTCTGTATCCTCTCACATAGAACTCTGATGGCACTCTGGCTCTGAAACCCTAATATGCACATTTATTTTCCTTCCAACATCCCAAAGTTACTATAAACTAAACAGAAATTGTAAAAAAATAAAAATAAAAAAATAAAAAAGGAAACTTTTCAAATAAACATTTTGCAAAGGACATTTCCCCAATGTCTCCTTGCAAGATCCATTTCAGATTAGAGTGGTTACTCAGACGAAAGCAGCATACAAAACCTCGTGAAATGAAACATCTACTTAATAGGCTATGACCTCTTTCCTGAAAAACAATTTCTTTGAATCTGAGTGTCAATGTTTTGAAAAATAAATACCAAACAAAAAGATTAATACTTTGCTTTCTGGATAGCAGGCTTAAATGGTACCAGCAAATATGTTTTAACACACTTCCTTCACTTGCCTATCTACCAAGACCTGCCTTTGGGATTATGTTTCTTCTGTAAGATTGGAAGCCATTGATAAGCAAGGTTGTTGCATGTAGCTCCTTGTGATTCTTTAGGAGTTAGGGTGTAATTTGCTTCCCAGTAATAGCTGAAAGCACTCACGATCCAATGGGAGATGCTCTCAGCCTTGATTGATAGAGCCAAATCTGGCAAGTCCTTTGTGTGTGTGGAACAGCAAACTGAGGGGGATAGATGCCAAAAGCTAGCTCCCAGGGGCACACAAGATTTCTTAACAATGATTGGGTATGCAACACCAGATCTTTAAAGTGCTAGCATGCTGTTTGAGATGGATTTTGCAGAGGCAGAGATACCTCACATAACCAATGTCCACCACCACCATCATGTTATATCAGCATCTCAGTGCTGGCATACCTAAAGGAAAAATGAAAGAGCTCTTACCAATAAGGGGATAAGCAGGGTCATCCTTTCCTGATATCACCCAGAGGTGGTAGTCACTTGGTCTACCCTGTGAATTGAAGAAGAGAAGGGAAAATTATAAAAGGGGGCCAAGCCCTGCGAGAGGCGACTGGAGAAGCTGGACATAGCACACAAAACAACTAAAAGAGTTAACAATGGAGCAGGAAATGAAAGCTGCAAACATCTGGCAAACAGCATGGTTAGGAGTGACAAGCTCTTAGAATCTGTTTGTTTGACAAGTAGCGGAAGGTGAAAGGTTCAGGAGAGGGAGCAGCGGCTGAATCAGGACGTCTGGGGCAGAGCAGCTTGGGTGCTGCTGGGTTGGTCCAGTAGCGCCGAGGAGTGGCGGCGCTACTGGACCAACCCAGCAGCACCCAAGCTGCTCTGCCCCAGACGTCCTGATTCAGCCGCTGCTCCCTCTCCTGAACCTTTCACCTTCCGCTACTTGTCAAACAAACAGATTCTAAGAGCTTGTCACTCCTAACCATGCTGTTTGCCAGATGTTTGCAGCTTTCATTTCCTGCTCCTTCAGCTGCTGTTGAAACTGATCAGTTTCAGCAGCAGCTGAATCTGGACGCCAGTTCGGACTTACATACAGATTCAACTTAAGAACAAACCTACAGTCCCTATCTTGTACGTAACCCAGGGACTGCCTGTATAGTCAATGTTTTACACAACTATGCTTGGCATTAATCTATTGGGATGTTGTTTTGCTTCTCCAATAGTGTGATAGTTATTACCTATGAAATTACTGAACAAATTGTCTGTCTGGGGAGTCTGAGACAAGATCTGACCTAGTAGAAGGCCATGTCTACACTGCAGGGTGGGGGTGGGGGTCGGAAAAAGGTACGCAAATTGCAAACTGCATACCTTTTTCCGATTCTTTTTTTGGAAGAGGCTTTTCTGACATTTGGCCCATCTACATGGGGGCCAAATGTCAGAAAAACCTCCTCTTTTGGAAGATCCCTTATTCCTCATAAAATGAGGAATACAGGGCTTCCGAAAGAACGTGCCCACTTTTTCAGAAAATGTTCCGAAAAAGCGGACGTGTTCCCTGGACGTGGAAGAGTTTTTCTGGAGGTATCCTGGAAAAACTCTGTGGTGTAGACATAGCTGAAGTGGATATAAGCCTCTGCAAATCAATGGTGTTGCATCTATTCACACAGGCCCTGAATTCGAGCTATTAAATGGGTGTGTGCTTTTATAAATCGTTGTATATGCAGAAACATATTCACTGTAGTTTGGAGAATACTAGTGTTCTAATGGTTATAGCCAGTCATTATACATTTTTACCAGAATCTCCTGTATCTGTATTATACTGTAAAACAGAAGTTTCCAACTTCCCAACAATAGATCTAGCAGGATGTGCAGTGGATACTTACAGGAAGTCCAAGCTGATTAGCTGTCTTCTTGATCACATTGTCTGCTGTTTCTGTGTTGGACACATTTACTGTAGTGGTCTAGGCAAGGAAGACAAAGAACACTTAGAAAGTTAACGGGGTTGGGAGTCGCAAGGGTTGAGGTTTGGAAACATCATCACATGGCTTGTAATCAAGTCAAGATGCTATTTTCGGGTCCCCTGTTTAGGCAGGACAGTGTCTGACATTGCAAACATGAAGCAATGGTAACACCATGAAGGTTAGGGTTTTACCACTAATGTGTTAGCTTGATTAACACACTCTATTTCAATGGCTGTGGAAGAGTTGAACAAACCTGGGAGCACAGCAGGATCATTCCTAAGCACAATGATATTACAATGGAACAGAAGTGCTCATCACCTTTTTTCAATCACTTTTCTCCCAGAGTGCACCAAGGTAACACAACAGAAATGTAAAATACAGAATCTCAGTGGGACTCTAACATCATGTACCAGAGATGGAACCCAGACTACGTCTAGTCTGCCGAGTTTTATTGGAGAAAGATATGCAAATTCTTCTGGAACATCCCTTATTCCTCTCACTGAGAGGAATTCATGGATGCCGAAAGAACGCACCCATTTTTTTGGAAACTGTTCCATAAAAGTGGACGTGTTCCCTGGACATGGCAGAGCTTTAGCGGTATCCCAGAAAAACTCTGCAGTCTAGACATAGCCCCAGACTGATAGTTGCACTTTTAGCACAGGAGTGAAACACAGTTGCAGAACCCAAGCACTGTGACATTAGTCCTTTTTTAATGGAAGGTGAACCAGGCACGAGGCTGAGAACTTAGTGACAGGAATGTGAAAAGGCAAGAATATGCTATCATAGATAAACTGAGATGCTACCAATGAATCTACCAAGCACAAAATAATCTGTTGCACCAATAGCAAGTATTATGGGGCATTGCTCTAGTAGTAGCCACTAAAGCAAAAGTCATCACTCGTGATGAGGGGCAACACCAGGAAAAGAAATTAAAGCAGGTGGCTAAAAATAATCTCCAGAACTAGTTTTTTTCACAAGGCTGGTTATGCCTAAAATAAAACCTCCTAATTTCCTGGATTGACAGGTCTCTGAGAGGGGCTGCCAAGGGAAGCTCCCAGAGGATAGATTTTGAGTCCTCTTTCATCAACCGCTCAAGTAAGTTTCAAGAAAGAATGCTGGATACATTAGCAACATAACAGCCTCCCCGAGCCCCCAGATCTCCATGTTGTGTTGGTCTGATGAGTGGGTTCTCAGTTTTACTCACAGAAGTACAGCTGTCAGCATCCAGAATGAAGATTTGGACTGTTATGTTTTTCGGATATTCATTCTGTTTCATCTCATTGATTTGCCTGAAAATCAAGGGGGAGAAGAAACAGAAACAATCACATCATAACAGAGTCTGAGAACACAAATGCAGCTTAACAGCCAAGGAGGCAACTATCAAAAAAGTGATCTCTTCAAGTTGGAGGTGTTGATTAGTCCCCAAAACAGGAGACCCTGATGGATGCTAACCTCATAGAGCAAGGATTGGCAATGACAAAAATCAGAATGCACTGTGGAATTGTTTGGAGAGGAGAGGTGATCTGAGAGTATCAACTGGCCCCAGGTCAGTTGGGGAGATTGGACTATCTGGGCTAAACTCTGCTGTCAATAGATGCAGCAGTGGTGCCCATGCTACTGGAGAGGCGATCCCAGCCTTCTGCTTGGAAAGTCAGTGCCTATGAGCAAGGAATTGAGAGGAAACAAGGCCTCTTGTGCTGAGACAAATTGATTTAGAAGATCTGTTCAATCCTGGAAGACCCATTTTACCCACCCATTCACTCCCCTATCTGTGTTTATGGGCCTTTTGCTATGTAATCATGGATTCATAGAAGTGATGGGCTGGACGGAATCTTGAACAGTCAACAAGTCCCACCTTCTGTGCTGAGATAAGACCAAGTAAAGCTAGACCATCCCTGACACGTGTCTGTCTGGTGATGGGGACACCACAACTTCCCTTGGAAGCATATGCCAGAGCTAGAATAACTTTCTGGTTCAAAAGATTTTCCTAATATCTAACCTTAAGCTCCCTTGCCATAGATTAAGCCCATTACCTCTTGTTCTACTGTCAGTGGGCAAGGAAAACATTTGATTACTGTCTTCTTGATAACGGTCATTTGTTCGCAAGAACAAACATGACCAGTTTTTTGCCCTTTCTTGTTGCATTTCTCCGGACTCGCTTTGGTTTGTCCGCACCATTTCTAAGATGTGGTGCCCAGAACTGAACCCAGTACGGCTGCTTGAGGGCTCAGCAGTGCCAACTAGAGTGGGACAATTATCTTGTGTCTTACATACAACATTATTGCCAATATGCCCCAGAACAATATTAGCCTTTTCCACAGCTGCGTCACATTGTTGACTCATATTCAGTTTGATCTACGGTCATCCCAGATTCCTTTTATTATTACCTAGCCAGTTATTTCCCATTTTGAAGTTTATCTTGTGATTTTTCCTTCCTAAGTGAAGTACCTTGCTCTCGTCTAGTAAAGAACTTCTTGATTTCAGACCAACTCTCCTATTTATCAAGATTGTCTTTAGTGCTAAACCTGCCCTCCAAAGTGCTTTCAACGCTTCCCAGCTTGGTGTCATCTGCAAATTTTATAAGCATCATCTTCACTCCATTAATGAAAATACTGATTAATACCAGGACTGATTCCCTGCAGGACCCCTTTTGACACATCCTCCCAGTTGTTAACTACTCTTTGAATCTAGGCTTTCAACTAGTTGTGCGCCACTTATTTTCCTAGTTTGCGTTTAAGAATGCCATGTGAGACTGTGTCAAAGCCTGAGTAACATCAAGATATATCGTCCACTGCTCCTCCACAACCCCTGGGTCAGTTACCCTGTCAAAGAAAGAAATTGGGGTGTTTTGGCATAATTTCTTCTTCACAAATCCTTGCTGGCTATTATAACCTCCTTGTCCCTTACGTGTTTACAAACTGACTGTTTTCTTTGTTCCAACGAAAGTTAAGTGGCTGGTCTATAATTCCTTGGGTCCTCTTTGTTCCCTTTTTTGAAGATAGATACTATGTGTGCATTTCTCCAGTTGTCTGAGACCTCACACATCCTCCATAGGTTCTTGAAGATAATTGCTAATGACTCCAAGATGGTGTCAGCTCATTCCCTAAGAACTGTAGGATGAATTCCATCAGGCCTGCCAGCTGGAATATTTCTAAATATTCTTAACATATGTCTAAATATTCTTTCCATATTTTGGCTTGTTTTGCTTCCCTCTTGTTTATCATATGAATTATGTTGAGTACTTGGTCACTATTACATTTTTTTTAGTGAAGTCTAAAGCAAAATAGGCATTAAACATCTCTGCCTTGTTGATGTCAGTTATTAGCACTTATTCCCTTTTAAGTAGAGGACCTATATTTTCCTTTGTTTTTCTTGTGTTCCTAATGTATTTAAATAACCCCTTCTTATTGTCTGTTACGTCTCTTGCTAGGTGTAATTAATTCTGTGCCTTAATTTTTCTGATTTTGTCCCTATATGCTCGTGGTATTTTTTTGTATGCTTCATCAGCAATTTGTCCATGTTTCCACTTTTTGTAGGATTCATTTTCAATTTTCAAGTCACCTTCTGATAGACCTCTTACTATGCTTCATTTTTCACACTGGAATAGTTGGTGGTTATGCATTTAATATGGTCTCCTTGAAAACCTGCCACTTCTCCTGAACTCTCAATACATTAGCTTTTCTTCCCATGGGACCTTATATCAGTTCTCCTATTTTTAAATACAGATGTCCTTATTGTGATGCTCTCACTTCTTTCTTTTGAATCATGGAATGTATAATGAATTAATTCTAAAAAGGCTGGCCTTCAAATTATTTTGGACCCTTTCTGAAACAAAAGACTGTCCCACTGCATTTATTAGAAATTTTATGTTTTACCATATGACTTTTCCAACAGATGTGTCCCGTTAGTACCAGATCATGTGTTTTGGATGTTTATGTTATTTCTTCTATAAATAACTCATTAATCTCTTCCTTATTTGGTGATTTATAGTAGACTCCTACCATGATATCACTCTGTTTTTCCCTTTTTAATCTTTATCCAGACACTTTTGACTAGTCTGTCTCTCATGTCTTTCTAGATGTCTGAATAAGTATACATATTCTGGATGTATATTGGTATAACTCTTCCCTTTTTTCCCTGCCTGTCCTAGCTATACAAGCTATATTCCTCTATACCAATATTCCAATCATGAGATTTATCTTGCCAAGTCTTTGTGATGCTAGTGAAGTAATAATTTATTTTATGTGCTAACCCTCCTAGCACTTTCTGTTTATTCCCCATATTCCTTGCATTTGTGTATAGACATCTACCGTATATTCCGGCGTACAAGACGACTTTTTATGCTAAAAAACATCCCCCAAAAATCAGGGGTCATCTTATACGCTGGGTATACAGGCAGTCCCCGACTTGCAGGTACGAATGGGGCTTTTCTCGCCCCAGAGGACACAGACTGCGGGACCTCGCAGTCCCGCCGCCCCTGTACTCCGGGGCGAGAAAAGCTGCTCCACGTCTCCCTGGTCTGCAGACCAGGAAGACGCGGAGCAAAGTCGCGGAGGGGCTCTGGCACGCCTGGGCTGCCCCGCTGCCAGCTTCCCCCGAGGCTTTGCAAAGACCAGAGGCACCGGGAGCCGCGCCTTTGAGGCTTTGCCAGAGCAAAGCCTCAGAAGCGCGGCACCCTGCCGCCGCTTCGGCTTTGCTCCCGGTGCCCCTGGTCTGCTGGGGACCGTCTCCAGCAGACCAGGGACACCGGGAGCAAAGCTGGGGAGGTGGAGGGGCGCTGGGGCGCTGCCGGTTGGCCTCTTAAGGGGGGGCGAGTATAAGACGAAAACCTATCTTTTAACTAGTAAATTAGGGGGTCGTCTTATACGCCCAGTCGCCTTATACGCCGGAAAATACGGTAAGATGTTGGGCAGATTGCCCCATGAATTTCCTCTTGTTAGTCCTATAACCTTGCTGTAATTTTTCATACCCTCACTTGGTCACCCCTTTTGTCACCTGCCCCCTATGAACCTCATTTAATAGCTAAAGGCCAAGCTGAAGCTCACATTGTGACTCAGGTTCTCTTACACACCCCTTTATCTTTCACAAATCACATGAAAGCAAAGGCTGCCAGCAAGGGAAATCCCAGGTGTTCATGATTTTGGCCCAGGTGAACCTGCTTATAACTCATTCTAACATTGTATTTCAGATCATCTGTGTTCTCCCCAGTTTAGAGGAGGGGCCCTCTCTGTAACCTCCATGAACCTAGGAGTTACTGGAAACAACATATTAAACACTGTCTTTGCAAAAAATGATTTCAACCTCCAAATGACAGTCATGAAATATCAATGCAGACCCCATCTGAAGCATCATTATTATTGTGGCCATTTTCATTGCAGTGAAACAAAATCCTGTGAGAAAGAAAGAACATTTCCCAAAGACGTTAGCTTCTATTTAGTGGAATTTGTCCTGGGCTTTTAAAAACCTCTCTGCTTTCATCAAAGTATTCGAACTAGCAATGAGGAACCCAATGAAAAGCAACGGGAGTTGGGGCTCTAGCATCTAAACTCTCCCCCCACATCTGTTTATAAAGGTTTATGAAATGACAGCACAGCAAGAGAAGGATGCATCTCTTACCACAGTAATGTTGAAAGCCATCGCTCTTTCTCTTCAGATGAGCTGAGAAGGAAAAAAGGAGGCAAAGTATTAAATAATGGCTAAATGACTAATCGAGTTTGGAGGCTCTACCAGGCTTAGCTTATATTTAGTCATTAATCTCAGTTCCTTCCTGGAAGCCCTAGAACAAAAGTGCAGTCCTTTCCTGGTTCTGTTCTATTTTAACAAAAAGAAATAATAATAAAACCCCAAGAGCAGCCTAGCTGAACTAGATTTCCTGGCCAACGTGAGGGGTGTTCAGATAAGGAACAAATATCTTTCAGTGACGGAGTTAACAAGTGATGTGTTTCTTTATTTTTTTAATGAACTTTAATTGATATTTTGTTTCTACTACCATTTCCTTTCCTATGCTTCCAATTCCTAGAAGCCTTCAGTGGCACTGTCACTCACTAATGTCTCATTGCTATGTTTTAAATTAAAAAAAAAAAAGCTATCCAGGGAACAAGACACCTGCAAACACAGTGCAGCAATGGAATGCACAGGGCATAATAAAGTGCAAAGCAGCATCCACACTGTTCAGAGGGGATGGAATCAGGGCTATAACAAGGAGAGGCAAGCGGGGCGCTCGCCTCAGGTGCATTATAAGCAGGGACGCAAAGTCACAATAAGTAAAAATAATAAGCTGCAAGAGTAAAAAGCGTGCTGCGTGCTAACCTAAGGAGAGGGGGCACATAATTAATATTTTGCCCCAGGCACAAAAATACCCAGTTACGGAGCTGGATGGAATAGCAAGTGTGAAATGAGATGGTGGATCCTAGTTCCTTCACTATCAAGCCAGTTTCCAAAGCACAAACATCAGCAGCATTGTTAGCACTGACTAGCACTTGTTTGCTATGAGCCAAAAGACCCTGGATTAAATGGTCCATAGAGACAGAAATACTCTGCTATACCTGTATGATTGGGACACACTGATGAATAAAAATGTGTGAAGGAAGTTTGCATTGTAGCTTCCCATATTTTGCCCAGTGTGGATATATATAATATATAACACACAAACACACACACAGAGTTTGGACAGAAAATGAGCCCGAAGGGGCATGCCCAAAGATGAAAAGGCCATTCTCTCTGAACAACTAAATTATTTTCAGAAAACTCCATATGTGCCCTGTTTTCATATGCTGTCAGGTTAGTCAAGATGATCTTAATATATGAATATTTGCTCTATGAGTACTTACCCCTTGAACGTTTTATTTGAGAATGGATTGGATGTTTTTAATGCACCAGTAAAATAAGTGTTGGTTGAAAGAACTCTTGAGGGAGGAGGAGGGACAGGGGAAGAATTCATTGCACTGTTGAGGGCCCAGAAATCTGCACTGACACTGGTTAGTATGCATATGCAGCAGTGGCCTATCTTGAGTGGAATCAGAGTCACTCAGTTGTGTGCCAAAACCCTACTTGATCTAAGGTACTCACCCAGCCACCATTACCATGTATTGGAGCAATTTGCAGTCTTCAGTGCATTTTCCCTCACAACATCCCTGTGAAGCACCTTTAGGAGAACCCAAGGCCCAGAGAATCTAGAGCCATGTCGCAGCCTGTGGCAGTGTGCCTCCCAGCACGAGATGACAGACGTGGGTAGCGGGACCCGTGCTATCACTCCAAAACTGATGTGTAGACAGGGCTTTGAAGTTGCAGCTGGGGCCAAGCTCTGAAACTCGCCTTGCCCCTCCTAAGCTTCAGAGTCTGAGCTTCAGCCTGGGACACCACTTCACAGCACTGTCTACGCTGCTGCTTTCGAGCGCTAACCCAAATCTGTTGGCCCAGGCTGAGATGGAGACTCATTGCTAAGGGCTATGCACCCAAACCCCAAATCACTTCCTTTACGTCGCAGTTGAAACCTATGGCAGAACCAGGGCCTGAACTATCCTTCTTCACTCTCCCTGTGTTGCCAATAGTTAACAGAATTCTTTTGCTCGCTTGAGGAGGGTCTGTATTTTTGGAACGGGGCTCAGAGTTCTAGCCTCTCTGTCATCATTTAGTTCTAAACATGCAGCATAGTGACAGCAATGTGACTACAATTGAATGGGTTTGTTACTCTGCTGTGATACCTGAAGGAGACAACATAATTGGTGGTAGGCCAGCCTATGACAAATGAATTTTCTGGGCTCGTCTTTTTCTCTGACACTTCGTTGAGACAGGAACCAGTCCAGACTTCACTCAGGCGCACCTGCTTCTTCAGCTTCAAGCTGGAGGAAGACCTGGAATTCAAACCAGTGATTGCTTAGGCTAATGAGGCTGGCTAGAGAGAGGCATAGTACACGTATAGACTTCCTAGTCTGTTTCTATTGATGCATATGAAATGACATCTCAAGTATTCCAGTTTTGCGTCTCCTTCCATCTTACCAAACTATGTGCCATACCCTGGTAGGTTCATGATTCAGACAAATTACTACCCACAAACAAGTATGCATCGTTGAGATCAACTAAGCTATTTACCTATCTGTTAAGTAGGAACTGAAGAGAGCTAGCCAAAAGGTGAGTTCATTTTCTGTCTTCTGCATGGATCCTCTTTCACTCTATTTCCTCAGCACTGGCAGAATGCCATGTCACTTTTTCAAGGCGTCTCATGAAGCAAAGGGCAAACTTACTTAGTTCAGATCATGCTGCTTTATGAAAACTCAGTGATAAATTAACGATAGACATTCCCAAGCATGACCAATACATTTCTATGGGCAGAATGGGGAAGTTGCAAAGTGTTAGAAGCCCCTTTAAAAATGTGTCTTCGCTGGTACCCTGATCCACACATGCCCTTGATCTTGGCTTACACCACTAGTAGGTGTGTAGACATAACCCTGTAGCTGTTTAGCTACAATGCATTCTCTTACTTGGATTTGGCAATAATCAGCGTGTCACTGAAGAGGAACAAGTGTCTCTCCTGGGTCTGCAGTCCCATGGTAAGTTGTACCCTCTCATCCAAGAGGAAACCTGAATTTGGGCTACTGAAGATCCCAGTTGGTAGCCCATTTTCTGGATGCGATGAGGAAAGAGTAATTTCCCTGGAAAAAATCATCACATGAATTGTGTAATCACTGGAACTCTTACAGACTTCATTAATAAGCCAAATAGACAGGTGGCTAGGTTGTTTCCTCTCACACAGGCTCAGACTCAGCTTAATGCAAGCTATCTGTATATTATATACTGAACGTGGAGGAAATCCTGAGGTTTTCTACTCAGGCATGAATATTATTATCTGAGAAAAGACCTCACATTGTGATCCTATAAGTGGAAAGGGAGCTGAGACCCACGCATGAGGTCACTTATCAGAAGGGAGTGCAGGCAAATTTGCAATGTTGTTGGATCAGTTCTGTTTTTATCAATGGTAGTTCCATCCATACCAAATTGCTTGTCCGTGTATGGACCACAGCTTGATGAATATTTACTTTGTATACTAGCCTAGTTCCACCCATCTTATTCAGGAATCTGGCTATAATTTTATAAACTTTGAAATCTACTGATTGAAAGCATTATATAAAAGCTAGGTATTATTTCTATAGTAATCCAACTATTTTTGTTGCTACTTTAGGCTGATTTGGATGCAATAGTTTGCCTAAGAAACTATGGCTACTATATCTCTATTGCATTCAGAAAGCAGTTGCTGGGATTAAACTTGATTCTTTACTCTGCAAACTGGCAAAAAGTAATAACTTCACCGTCTTATTATTCTTTTCCCTTCCCATCGCAAAACTCCCTCTCCTGTTCTCAAATATGAATTCATAGGCTCTCTCCTCTATTAACATTTAAATGCAGCAATGGCACAATGAGGTGGGACAGATCTTCATTCTCTGCTGCTGACTTTACTAGTATAAAGTCACACAGATCTTCTGTCCAGACAGACTCAAAACACCGTTGGTGGTGTGAGCGTACAATCAATTTTAGTTGGATTTATTAGTCCCATAGAAATGGCTGCAAATATAAAGGATACAGTATATACATATACAGCAGTTTTCAGGGAGATGGGCAAAACAGGACAGACTCTACCACTTTTACTCTGTTGAGAAATGCCTACTCAGATTGGCCCTATTAAGTTATTGGCCTAACTCTACTGCCAGCAATAAAGAGTAAAGCCACTCACTGGCTCTAGTGGAAACAGGCTGAGGTTAAGCCAACACTCACTGCTTTCGAAAATCTCCCCTAAAGTCCCCAAACACTTGTAATCTTGCAAGTCAGAGACTCTGCCTTGCCCGAGCCTGGCACTCCTGCTCACAAACAAGCACATTCTTGGTTTATAAGCCTGTTGCCTCTACAAGTGAAAGATAAGTTCACTTTAAGGCATGCCCATGAAAGTGTTGCCTGTGGGTCAGTGGAGCACTGGAGACAGGAACAGCAAGTGACCTCAGCCATGGTTTCTTAATGCTGGAGAAGTTACAAGGTTTGGTAAACAGAACAGACAAGTAGCAAAAAAAAAAATAAATAAAAAAAATCACCAGTGCTCTGGTGGCCCAAGTAAAGATGGCATTGTACCAGCTGCCTCTGAGGCAATACACCCTGAGAAATGTTTAGAGCTTCCCTCCCTTGCAAAGATGTTCTCCAGCCAAATAAAGTCAAGAATTTGGTTCTGTTTTTTTGAACCAGTGTGATCTTGGGGGGAGGGGAGATATTTGAGGGAGAGAAGTAAAAGCATTTCTGAGACATTACTTGGGCAGGGGACACAGATGACGTGAATTCTGCCATTTATTTTAAACCACCCTAAAACATTGGCTTCTGTCTGAACATTTCACAAAAGCCGGACTTACTCCCAAGCAGTTAAATACAGTGTGAAAGGAAACTGCTGCTCTTGGAAAAGGTTGCTTAGTGCAAAATATAAATCACTTGAGTTTTTATCTTTTAAACAAATATTTATGTTATAACTAAACAAATCACTGCAGCGATGTTATTTATGAGGATGTTTTATCAGAACCAAACAGAGAAAGAGCATGACACTCCTTTATCTGTTGTCTAATTGTTACACTGTGCAGGGTGGGGAGAAACGACTTAAACGCTAAGATGGTTATTCTTCCATCAGAGTGTTGTGAGGCTTGGCTACTCCTCAGCAAAACAGTTGGAAGGTCAGTGTGTTCATACTTGACTATAAACAGTGGAAGTCTTGGTGCTTTATATCTGAAGAAACTAAATTCAATAGGGCACAGGATGGCTCCGGAGCACATAAATGGGAAAGGGAGCTTTTCACGTGATGTCACCAGTTACCAATCAGTTGTTACCATCTCAAAAGTGACTTGTATGAAATTAATCTAGAAGACTCTGTCCGGTTCTTAATGGAAATGTATCCAGAGCTCTAGACCAACCATCATGTTGGTAGACGCAGCGGGCAAGAAAGCAAGGCAAGAATGGGTCACTAACACTGAATTTCCATCTTGCCTCTAGCATGGGCTGGGCATGGAGGCACATTGGTGGGATAGTACAGAAGCTCTTGCTGCCTTTCCCCTCACTGCACCTGCTCTGAGGATAACTCATTTCCCCCCTGCATTCACTTCCAAAGCTTTCATCTTTGGTGTTGCTGTCCATACTCCCCTCTTGGATGATTTGAATGATTGTTTCTGTGTTCCTCTCATCTGGATGCCATTTTGACCAAGTTTGAGTCTGGAAAGTCACCACAATCACAGGCAACAGTCTGAGTCTGGGTTTGACCAAGACTTTCCAGACATGAACTGTTGCCTGTGTTTGTAGTGAAAGTCCTGTATGGGCCCTGACCCTGATCTAAACTGACTTCAGCAAGAGCAAGCCCTGCCCTTAAGAGCATCTCTATGCAAAGAGAATCTGTTTTGACACTTGCCAATGCTGTTTTCAGGATAGCAGCACATCACTGGCACCAATAACCAAAGACAGAGGAGTCCTTCAAGTGAAGATCTGCTCTGGGTAGCTTGTATTTCCAAATTTTGCTTCTCTCTCACCTTTCCATTACATCAGTAACTTAGTTTCTTAGAGCATCATTGTTTCAGCTGGTTAAAGGGCAGACTAAACAGCAATGAATCCATCAGGCAAACAAGCACTCACTGATTGCCCAAGTGGAATTAGAGAACCCGAGAGAGGGTTTGTCTCATGTAGAACCAGGTGAGAAAGTGAAACGGAGGATTGGAATTTCTGTTCTTTCTTGGTTTTTTAAAAGAAAAACTGAAAAAGTAAAAATTCCTGATTTCTTTTAAGGGCATCATTGGCCATCTGTTGTTTGACTTCCAGATAGAATACAGTCAGGCTGCTATGACTAACCAAATATTTATCATATGTGGCTTGGCTGCTGGCATACAAACTTCACCTTAATGTTGGCTGCTTTTCCATACAGTAAAGCCTAGATCCTGACCTGACTTACACCAGTGTAAATCCTGAGTGATTCCACTGAGGGCAATTGAGTTACTCTCCGGATTGACATCTGCACAAGTGAGATCACAGTCTGGCACTACATGTTTTCTGCATCACATTATTAAAATGTGTTCCAAAAAAGAAACTGGAACCCTTTCAGATGGGAGGTCTGTCCAGACACGAATGGCCGTTGGTATTGGCAGCTGAACTAAGACATGTATTAGAAAATTTATTTTATTTTTTTTTATTTGTAATAGGGGGGCTTAAAGATGCATGGGGATATTGAAGAGATGTTTCCTTACCTGGAAAGGGATTTGGACTTGCTGAGAGCTTTACTAATGGCAGAAGGGGTCGAGCGTCTCCTTTGGACTGTGGGCTTCATCGTCTGTGGGAGAAAGATATAGTCCAGTTAGTATAACCAGCACTCTCTCTGCACTCAGTTTACCACTTCAATTCTGTTTATTGCCTTCTATTTTTTTATATGCAATTTTTTTTCTCTAGTTATCACTCAAGGTACATCTACATTGCAACACTATTTCCGGATACTGGAGTATCCCAAAATAGCTATCTCTCATCTTCACAGCAAGATCGTTATTTCGGGCTCATTATTCCGAAATCCCTGTAAATACTCATTCTACGAGGAGTAAGGGACATTTTGGAATAGCGCTTTATTTCAAAATTTGGTGCTGTGTAGACAGCGCCAAATGATGAAATAAGCTATTTTGAAATAGCATCAAAATAAGATATGCAATTTGCGTAGCTCAAATTGCATATCTTATTTTGAGTGACAGTGATGTGTACATGCACCCTCACTGACTCTAAACATAGAAAGCAACATGAATTGCGTGTCCACTGAAGTTACATTTTGTTTCCTTGGTATTCAAACACTCAACAGCTTTCTCATTTACTCAAGAGATTCAAGATTTTCCTAACTGGAAATATATCCACTTTTCACAGCCAAAAATAAAAGTGAGTAAGAGTAATGGGCTGAAACAGAGTAGAAGAGAATTTAGGCTGAATATCAGGAAAAACCACCTAACATTCATGTCTAGTGGAACAGTCTAGGAAGAGAAATGATGGAAACCCCATTTAAAACTAAACTGGACAAAGCCATGGAGAATATATAGGAAGCAATCATTTATTGGCTGGAGGGTTGGATGACATTACCTAATAGATCTCTGCTAATTTCTATGATTCATGGATTTAGTATACAGCCTATTATTAACACCCCTAAGCTCATGTCGCTTTTTGGAACATTCATCATTTGTAATTGTCTGAACCACAGAAATCCTATCTGCCTTGTGAATGAAGTGACTAGAATGATGATCCTTGTCAGTTTGAAGAGTAAGGCTTCCAGTGAATATAGGGGTGTAGGTTGGGCACAGGTCTTTTGTTTTTCCAGTAAATTTTGTGCTAGGAAAAATGCCATATTTACAGCCTGATGACAAATCCTGAAATCGCTAGAACTGAGAGAGGCAGAAAAAGTTACCCTAAACAGCTCAGCACCCTTCTCTCCAGTTTTAAACATCCAATATCAGAGTGTATGTTGAGAATTATAGATCAGGGGACATTGGCATGGGTAGGATGTTTGATTAGAGAGGGAGTATTCCTTCTCTAATGGAACATTTTACCAGAAGGATCACTGATATCCTTTCTTCCACAATTTGATCTGAGGAAGTGGGTCTGGCCCATGAAAGCTCATCACCTAATAAACCATCTTGTTAGTCTTTAAAGTGCTGCATAGTCCTGTCTTTTGATATCCCCACCATCCATAAGGTCAGCCAGGAATAAACTGGTTCTCAGGGGACAAGACTTCTAAGCTCACTGAAACACTTGCTTTCTTTTCCTGAATGAAGGGGGAAAGTGAGTTTCTACTCTCCTTGTTTTGTATTAATTAATTATTTTAGTAGTAGTAGTAGTAGTAGTAGTAGTAGTAGTAGTAGTATAAAAGCATATTTATTTATATTGAGCCAAAAGTTTGTGAGCTGTTTTGCAGTCACATAGGAAGACAAGGTTCCTGATCCAAAGAGGTAGCAATTTAAATACAATTTGAATAATCTGTACTTTCTTCTTCAATAACACACCTTTTATTATCAATTTGGTCTCTAAACTATGCTCATCACCATGGTAATTAGTCCCATGCTCTGCCTCATTCGGCACACACCTTCCCTCACATACAACAAATGGGGTAGGAGATCCCACAGATGACAGTGTCCTTTACTTCACAACCCTGATTCACCATCAGAGCAGGTACATCCTGCACACTGAATAAAGCAGGGATCTGGTGGAAAAAAAATAGTGTATGATCATGTAACTAAAGAGTGGATCATAATGCATCTGCACAAGGGGGCTAAAGTAAGGTTGCCCAGACAAACTTAATTCAGGCATTTCCTAACTTTCAAGTGTATATATAGATCATTATTAAGGCTGAAAAGTCAAACACTTAAAAGTATATATATTACCTCCCCCTTTCCCCTCATGTGACTCTCCTAAGCAAAGAGCCATTTCTGTCCTAAGGAGTTTCACAGAGGGAACTGAATAAAAATAACACCAGCTCAAAAATATTTATTTAAAAAAAGAAGAGGCCATACTGAGAGGGAACATCTGGCTTTCAGAGACACCCCGGTGGGATAAAATGTTCTTACAAAACATGATACAGTAAAGCAGCAGTCGTGCAACATCTTAGGGAAGGAGGACCAGGGTTAGAGATGGACTCCTGCAGTCTTCAGGTAGAGTTAATGCAGTAGAGTATCTGGGAAGAGTGGATGCATATAGCCAACACTTTGGGGACCGGGAGACTAATGTAGCACCCAAAGAAGTGTTATAGTAATCTCTTAAAGGCATCTGGCACCTTTTATCACACCCAAAATTTCAAAGCACATTATAAGTCTCTTGTATGTGATGGAATCATCTGCCACTGAAGTGGAGTCTCATCCATGGTAGATTATGGCAGCTGTTTAGCCGTGCATATCAACACCACACAGGGTACGCAATGTGGAAGGATGTCTTACTCCAAAGACAGCCTGAATGTAATTACGCAAAGTGGAGTGTGGCCAGAACTCTTGGGAATAGCATTGTGGGGTGTGGAATAACCACAAATGGCTTTATGGCTTATTTGAATGCTGGCAGCTACAGCAGCACTGCAGTCTGAGAAGTACCAGATCCATATTGATGTAGCAGGAAGAACATGACCAACTAATTCGTCAACCAAACTTCCAGCAGCAACTAGGTTACCTGTGGAGGTCTCATACCTATGTGCTGGCCAGGCATAATCTGAGGTGTGGCTACAAGAGGTATGCTTCTTGCTTACTGACTCCAAGCAAAATCCTTTTTCTCTCCAGAGGTTGTTTTATGTGTGTCAGTCTCTAATTTAATTAATAAAAAGCAGCCTGGGCCAGAAATCCGTTTGGGATAAAGTACTGGCTCTTCGCAAACTAGAAAAAAATCTCTCTCAACCCTATACAAGAGTGACAAATTATTTTGTTGCCCTAGTCAATCACCTGTTCTACTTCTAGTAGCAATACTCAAACTCTGCAATAAGTTGATACAACTGGCATTCTGCCAAGGGCACAGGGCATGGGCCTCACTGGCATAACTTTGAAAATATTTATACGTGGACTCTGCGTAGGTAGAGTGAAAGAAATCACTGTTCCATAGAAATATACTATAAGCCTACAATTGTTCAGCTTTTCTGATCTTTCCATGGAGAACCTGGCTAAGCATCCCATTTTAAGATGCATCAGACTATAGCCATGTTTTGACTATTTCTTGCTTAGAAGGGAAAGGCAGTATTCATAAAGCTATCAATCAGACATGGAAATAGGTCTCATAACTCCTTGAATGTTCTTCCAGTGATGCACTGCCATGTGCCACAAGTGCTCCGGATGCTGCTCGTGTCTGGAGATCATTATGCAATTCTCATCTGGACTTTGTCAACTTTTGGAACTCTGGACTGAGCCTCTAGGACATCCTACCCTCTGGACTACAACAGAGCCCTCCAGCTCCATTTACCAGCATGCTTGGAATGCAAGTGGGAACAGAATGGACTAGAAACTCCCGATGAGGCCAATGACGGGCTTCTCTACGGGCATGGTATAGACAGGCTGTTTGCTGGGCCAGTGATACGGGGTCAGCCTTAACTCTGAGACAAAGAAACTAAGATTAGTTTTAGTTTGGAGCTTTGAGTAACTGGGAGCTGAGACTCCAGCAATCTGATAAATGCCCCCCCGCCCCTTCTCCAAAAGACTAAAGGAGGCTTTGAAATGCTGTGCAACCTAGCCCTGCAGAGATCAGACTTCCAAGTGGCAGAGACTTGACCCGATGCTAGATTCTGAGAATAAGCCAAGACCCCACTGGACTCCCGACTGCTTCTCCTGTGCCAGCACAATTCCCTGGGTCAGGGAGGTGCTGGGATCTTGCCCATGGTGTTCAGTAGAGCAGGTCAAAATTTTTCAATAAACCCTTTTCCTAATGAAAATGCATATTGTTATTGTAAATTCAAAATTCATTGCCTTTGAAATGTTCCATTTTCAATGAAAAACTGAAAAACATGATTTTCATTAACATTTTGAGGTTTTAAAAATATTTCTGATTTTATAGCAGTATTTGTGAAAAAATGTTTGATCCTTGGTTTTTCACTGAAAAACCAGGAAAAAAAATCTGGAAAACATTTGTTATTTTCCAATTAGTTATAGAATCTAACATTGATTTCTAGTCAAAGATAGGGGGTATTGACATGGGTCATCAGGCACTCATTGCTCACTCAACTGGGAGTGATATTTTGGCACCGGTTCAAGATTTAAAATAGCAAGTCTGAGATCTCCGAGTAGCACCATTTTCCTGTGAACATTTCATTTCCCAGCAATGTTATTGTATAAATAGCCAATTAGCCCATCATAAAATAGTATTTCAGGTCTCTCCTCCACATCCTATTCCCTTTCTTTCTCAGTCTTCTCTCCTGAGCCTCCGGTCTCTCTCTCTCTCTCTCTCTCTCCCCCCCCTTCCTACTGCCCCCCCCCCCCCAGCTCTCCTCCATCTCCTGCCTCTCTCTCCGTCTCTCTTTCTCTTCTCCTCCTCCTCCTGCCTCTCATTCTCTATTCTCCTCCTCCTCCTGCCTCTCCCTCTCTCTTTCTCTTCTCCTCGTCTTTCTGCATGGGGAGCGTGGAGCCGAAACGGCTGTTTGCACCGCTTGCTCCCACATGGCAGCCCAGCTGAGTGGCTGCCTATGACCTCCAGCTGCCCCCCTGCACCTTTTTCCTTCACCCCAGCACTGATCCTGCAGCCTCCCAGTTGTCTTCCACCTCCCCTCTCCTCCGCATTCCCCCGCCCTCCCTCCAGCCAGGGTCTGTTCACGGCCAGGGGGAGGGGCCTGGAGCTGCTGTCACA